GGGGGGGGGGGGGGGGGGGGGAGAGACCTCTAGTCCCATGTCCCAGTAGAGCCCCCCATTCCCAGCACCCAATTCCTGGCAGCCATTCCCCTGGCACGGCATACGTGCACGGCATGCCAAACCAGGTCACCTGTGCTAATGGGGCAGCAATGCGGGACTGACATCACTTTGTGTGCTTCTGAATAAACCGATTAACCGTGATTAACACTCCCGTTGCTCTTTGGGAATTCAGGAAGGATTCTAGGAATAGTTAACTCTTTTTCCCCATTTTAATGAAGGGGAATCCAGCTAAAGCAATCCTTAGAATTCTGGAAAATGCAATCTAATGGGCAACAAAGCAGAACATGATGTTTACATTACATTTATTTAGCACCCACCTGTATCTGAAGTAGACAAGGCGGGGGCGACCAGTTCCTTCAGCAATAGCAGTCACGCACCATGAGATTTGAACTAGTGACCTGGCGATGACAGGTACAGGCACCACGAGGTCCCCCACGACCAAAGCAGGAGAAAACTTGTGATTCTTGTGATTCTGAGAAGAGAGTAATTCAAATGTGCTTCTCTCTCAGACGGTAGATATGCACCGTGAGAAGGTGGCTCGGAGAGAGATCGGTGTGTTCACCACCGTGAAGAAGGTGCCGCGTAGCCAGAAGATCATCTCCCCCGCCCCCCAGGATGCCCAGCCAAAGTACTCACGCACACCCATCACCTACTCTGCCCTGGATTCAGTGGGACATGGCATGAAGGTGAGTTAGGCTGGGTTCTAGGCTCGTCCGAACTCCCCAGCAGTCCCGGTGCACTAGGAACACGTGTTCCAGACTGAGGTTCCCCCAGATTTAACGGGCGTTGAATCATCATAACATACGTTTTCCTGTTTGTAATACCTTCACGGAACAGTAAAGAATTAAACCATTTGCATGAATACATGGAAGCCAAGCCCTATTAGATCCGGAAAAAAAGCACGTCATACATTTTGTGTTTGGCCACAAGTGTACAGATGCAATAAGTGTTAAGGACCTCTGAAAAAAGTGTCAGATAAGTCGCTCTGCTTCTCCTTCATACATGCAATGTGCATCCAACTAGCCGGCCGTAAGTACTGCAGTGTCAGCCATGCCTGGAGGCGCGGATCGGAATAGACTGCTCCAGACAGCACGCTCCGTTTTCATTTTTATTTCTCAGTATTTAGTTCATAACTGCATTTATGAATTGGTAGTAATGACTGTAGCATTTAGCTAGCTGGCCGGTAACCCGGGTTACGGGTTGAAATCCCGCCTCCGCTCTGTGTTTGTGGAGTCTGTGTGCTCTCCCTGTGTCGAGAAGCGTTCCTCCTGATTCTCCAGTTTCCTCCTGCAGCCCAAAGATGTGCAAATAGACTAATCAGCATGTCTACATTGCCCATAGCTTTATTATGTGAATGTTGGTCATTGGTACAATAGCACCACAAATGCAGCAATTGAATGTATGTTGGACGGAGACCCAGACTGCTCCCAATATGCTTGAGTGCAGTTCAATTATATTACAACAGACGAGATACTGAGTTTAATGTTTATATTTTACATTTATTTCTTTAGCGGACACTTTTGTCCAAAGTGACATACCAGTGAGGTCAGTAGTACGTTATGTGTTGCTTATGATGTACTATGCTATGTATGGCAGAGTCTGAAATAATGCTTGTTGCTCCACACAGTGACATTTCCTACAAAAACCGAGAAGCTTTGTTATTAGAGCCTGTTTCTCAACTCAGCCAATCGCACTGAGACACTCTTGCACATACTAGCTTCCCACATCCTGTGTGATATGATGCAGTTGCAGTGAGACGACCTCAATTACAGCCTTTTTTTTTTCCACCGAGAGGAACCCCTTCAGAAACGCGCCAGCAGACACCAGACGTGGCCGTGTGCCGAGCCCCACGTGTGCACGCACCCGAGGCTGCCTGTTTTTACATAGTCAGGCTGTGGAAAGATCATGATTGTGAGATTGCAGAGCCCGTTGTCGCAGTGGAGGAACAATGTCGGCTGGCCTGCCTCACTGGGCAGCGTCTCACGCTGCTTCTCTCTGCTTCTGTCTCCTTCTGCCTTGCTCTGCACTATAAATGTGTTTATGTTTGCCTACAAAGGAAATGCTGCATGCATGTGTGAAACAAATACTACTTTCGGAGGGGCAAAAAAATCATCTGTGAAAAAAGGACAGTGTTTGGAACATTTGGCTGAAGGCCTAAATACCGTGTAGTGTTACTTGACGCACAAAAATAACATATTTGACATCACAGCAAAAACGGTTTTCTCAGAATTGAACTGAACTCGCTTGACTTGGTATCTATGCAAGATAAGGAATTAAAATACCTGTACATAAATTATTTATGAATATATCATTCCAAAGCCTGCCCCCTTGTGGTGAGAATATATCAATCCATGTGCTAAGTGTATACTGTATATATGATTCATATTCTGTGAGTTTACAAAAAATCAGTAATTTGTAAATAATGGTAAGAAAACAACACAAAATATTTTCTTTTATTGTGAACCTTATTTTCTAATGTAATTAATTTCAGGGAATAATTAACTCCCAGTTAAAAACGGAAATTTCGATTTCCTGATACTCTTGACAAATTTCAGCGTATTCTGTATTACCATGTATTAACCAAACACTGTGATGTTCTTGAAATTCTTATATCAGGGCACTTGTAAGTCCTGATGGGTGCATCTGCTGTGCCTCACACCAAATATGAAGATATTTATGGTTAATTACAAAAGCATAAATTGTGAGCGCTGTTCAGATCTTCTCGGAGTGCTCTTTGCCAGTAGGGGAGTTTTCCTCACAGGAGGCTATGGAGATAACAAAGGCACTTTCTGTTGCTGAGATGCTGGATGGTGAGATCTCACATTTCATTCTCAGGACTCTGGGAAGCAGCTGGGAAAGACAGGCACCATGATCCGCAAACAGAGCAGCCGGGATGCCGGGGGCACTCTGGGGTACGTCAGTGTTTTGTCCTGTTTTTGGAAAATCCTATTTGTATTCTGTGACATCAGATCGCACTACTTCCGGGGAAAATACTGTAGTTGCTGCTGAATTCATAGGCATACAGTAAGTAAACTGCGCCTGCGGAAAAAGGTTAGCAGATACTATCTGCGTATGATTGAGTCATGACCACAGTCATGTGTACAGGTACAGTACGTCACAGTCGGTGTAATAGCGAATCTTAGCTTGGGCAGATACCTTATCTATTTTGTCTCTGTCAGTGTCTGAGAAATGATTCAGCAATCTGCTACTGATTGCTCATCCTGACCAAGGTTAGGAACCCTTATCAATCTGAGACACACCCAAGTTAGGAAGATTACGGGCGTGGCAGAAGACGGATGATCCCTATTAACAGGAATAGGAAACCACAGTCATTGGGTCGAAGGTGAAAAACCTGAACAACCACAGAATGTGACCTGCAGGCGCTCAGGCTGAAGTTATACAGCCTGGCCGATATTTTCACGCATTTTACGATGGTATGATAGCAACGCACATTCAAAAGTCATCAGACTTTGAATTCTGAATTTCTGTCCCTCGGCTGGCGATACACCGCATGATGTTTTCCACTGATGCCAGGTGACGGCAGTGCCCATGCAGCCACACTTCCAGTACTTTCACGATAGGATAAATTTGTATTTGCATTTATTTTATTTTCAATTACTGCTGTCTTCAATCACTCCTATCTACCTTTATATATATTTATATACATATCATATCAAATTCACGTTCAACTTATGACATTTTAAACTTACAATAAGTTCATCAGAACGTACAGTAACTCCATCATAAGTCGAGGAGCATCTGTATTAGAAAAATCTAAGTTCATAGTGTGATGCCTGTCATGCCTGTGTTAAAGGAATGTTTTGATTGCAGTGACACTGTATGCCTTACTGGTGGATGATTTAGGGAAAAAAATGACATTTTTTTTGTTGAATTTTTTTTTCTTGCATACATTATATGAACAAGAGTTTTATGGTGTAATGCAGTGTTACCCAACCAAATCCTCAGGGACCCACAGTCGGTCGACGGTTTTGCTCCCTCTGAACTCCTGGGAGCTGGGCGGGATCAAAAACGTGGAGTGTCTGTGGGTCCCCGGGGACCGGACTGGGCAACACTGGTGTAATGGAGGGTCAGAGCCTGAGTTCCACATTAATCTGACCTGAGATGCAGTGAAAGTGCCTGCTTGCTAGTTGACCATAACAGCCGCGTGCCGGGTGCTTCTGCAGCCGGAACAGCCGTGCCCCCGAGCCCGTGCAGTGCCCCGTGGCCCCAGCGATGTCCAGGGGACCATCCCTCTCCTCCCTCAATGAGCGCTCCGTTGGGTAAGCTTGAGGGCGGGTGGGAGTTTCCAGTTACATGGTAGTGATATTCACATTTTAGCAGATGATTTAAGCCAAAGCAATGTACATTTTTTGAGAAAGCAGGATCAGACAATCCCTAATATTATTTTGTAATATCAGCGAAAAATCTGGAAAATCTCCAAATAATTACAGGGAAAGGTGCTGTTAATTAGCATAACCTATGATCAACTTGTACCATTTCTTAGTTCTAGTTTTAGAACCATGGGAGCTGCTTCCTGTTTCAGGCGAGACCTCGGCATGTTTAGCTGTTGTCTGCTGTATCCCTGCTGTGTTTATAGTTTTTGAAGTCTTCCCCCCGCAGGTCCAGCTTCGGAGTTGCAGTGCCCCCACCTGTGATTCCCAACGTCACCGCTACTCCCATGGAGGACAATTCACTCCCTCCCCCTTTCCTGGCTGAGCCCAGCGTGCCTTATCCGCCACCTCCTCCATCCTCAAGCAACTCCCTAGATGTGCCTCCCCCACCACCTCCGCCACCCCCCCCACTAGAGACCGGTCAGTACTTTCAGTAAAAAGCTGAATGATACAACAAGGTCTGCATAGCTGGTTCTGTAGCTGGTTCTGTAGCTGGGTTCTGTAGCTGGTTCTGTAGCTGGTTCTGTAGCTGGGTTCTGGAGTCAGGAGCGTGAAAACACTTCTATTATAAATGCATTTATTCACAAAAGAGTAACACATCCTGCCTTATTTTTGGAGAGTGGAGTTTCTGTTAAATATGAGGGACCACAAAAATCAAACTGTTCGCCTTCCTTAGAGACAAGTCCCAGTTTATGTCTGTGACATTGCAGCAGGATGTGGTTAAGCAAGCCTGCAAAACAGGCTCTGAGTATAACATTGAACGGAATAACACATATGACCTAAAGCCTAATTTCCGATTCCAGTGGCTGAAGAAAACTCCTTCCCTATGATACCAGACCAGCCTTTGCCCCCCCCTGCTGTTGATGTCCTCGATTTTCCGGGCCCACCTCCTGTACCGAATGATTTCAGCTCAGGTAACAAGTGGCCGGCTGCCACTTTTTCCCCCACTATGGACTTTTGTGGACTCTCACTGTTATGCTGGTTATGCTGGTCCAAACTTGTTCTGCCGGCGTGACCCATATTTAAATTACCTTAAAAAATTCTGGCCGATGCAGATTCACGAGGGGGCGACAGACTGTCATCTCCTACGCACTGCGCTGCCTGCTGCCCCGGCTGGGTTGCCGGCTTCTCTCTTTCTGGGGTTTCGCTGAACTGTGCCTTGATACTTGTGTTTTTGTGTCTTCTTCACCTTCGCTTCCTCCGGGCTTCAGTTCCTCGCTCCAAGCGCTCTCGGGGACAGCGCTACCCGCCCAGCTCACGCTCAGGGTCGCTCCGGGGCCGCCTGACCCCCTCCGTGCGCTCGCTGCACACTCTGTCTCTCACTCTCCCCTCTTCTCGCCCACGTAAGCCGGTTTCTACGCCTTTCCACAGCCCAACACCACTATGCCACAGAAAAAAACAATCACCCAGGTACCCAGGAAGTGGCCACATATTCACAATCACTGAAACACACTATAACTGTGATATTTTTGACTATAAATATGCAGCAGTGTTTCGCCATCACTTATGTGCCGTTCGGAACAAATGCCAACTTCAACTTCAAGTTAAATATGAAGGTTATGCAGTTTGTCAAAAAGCTATTTATGGACAGTGTCAGCCTTGTTTCTTTAAACATAACCAGATTTCATCCTTCTGCAGAGACTTTCTGCCACACCTGATTAAAGAATAGAATCGATTATAGACATTGTAGTTACATTGTATTCCTCACCAGTAATACTTTGACTGTGCTTGTCCAATGTCTTGCTTTGGTTTCACCAATGAGCTGTGTGTCTCTCTGTGCTCGCCGCCCAGTCATCATCCCCCCGCCCCCCCCATACCCTCCTCCTCTAGCCCCCCTGGCCTTGTTGAGCCCTTTGTACAGCCTGACCTCTCGCTTACAGCATCTGGGTGAGTGGGCTTTCTTGGGGTAGAGATGGTCGAACATCTGGAGACCCTTAACAGGACCAAGAATATTCACTGAGCAGTGAATTTGATGCTTAAGTGACTAAAACTGACCTCTTTTCCAGTTGCTGTAGGAACATTGATATGCTGAGGGACCCTAACTGCTGAAATCATTTACAATGACATAAAAAACAGTGTCACCTTACGTTGTTCATAGTAGTGACATTCAGGGAGATGTTTTGTTGCACTTTTCACTGGAAACATAGACTTCCTGTCTGGTTATTGAAACCTGTGTTATCAAGCCAAGGAGATCCAAGATGTCTCTTCTCACACATTGTGTTTCTGTTTTCTGTGTTAGACCTAGAGTTCCAGATTCCACCCCCTCCCCCTGATACCACAGAGGAATATGGTGATATACCACCCCTCCCTCCTCCTATTGATTATGACCAGTGTGCACCCGCCAATTACCTGGAGAAAGGTATTCCTGGCCTTTTTTACAGAAATGCAACAGAGTAAAAGAAGGTGGATGTGACAATAAATGCTAGCGATTCACCTGGCACAAATGACTGATGATGATGAACTGATTGTTGCCATAAAAAAGCAGGAAAGTGCTCAGATTAGACTTTGTCTTTACTGCAAGCCAAGGGCAGCTAGCTGATCAGGGGATATCGCCTCTGATGTATTTATGGCCGTGGTCGTTCTCTTACTATGTGCCGTCGTTGTGACTCTTGGGTGTTCTGCCTTCACAGTGGTGGCTTTGTACAGCTACAGCTCAGACAAGCTTGGCGACTTGACCTTCCAAGAAGGTGACATCATCTACCTAACGAAGAGGAATGAGGACGGCTGGTGTGAGGGAGTCCTGAACGGTGTGGAGGGCTACTTCCCAGGCAACTATGTGGAGCCCACCAGCTAACAAGCTCTTCCTATACCAGTGTTTGTACTACAGTGGGTCTACTGGGAGAACGAGCTGTTGAACACTGGCTCCATGGGCATTACTTACTGTCCATTTTGATTTATGTTTTTATTGTACTTTCACACTGTTGCTTGAATACAAGTCAAGGCAAAAGCTGATGGGTTGCCCCAAGCATAGCTGTTGTAGGAATTCTGCAGTCAGACTGTTTCTGGGATTATTGAGAGGGTGTCGTAAATCTGTTCAGTTTGTTAGCATAAATAGCTTCTGCAATGGAATTGAACTACAACACACGAAGTCTGCACTCGCAGATTTCTCGCTCAGTTTCCAAAGTCTTGTTTATCCTCATGAATCCTCTCCAGGATTTTCCATTGCTGTGTGCTGAACTGCCGTCAGACTGAAGATTAATATCCTGCATAAAGATTAGTAACTTAGTTTGGGGTTTGGGTGGGAAAAAAAAGTATTTTTTTATCTTTTTGTTATCATTTAAATTATGTGTTCTCAGGTAGTGCAAAATACAAGTGAAAACGAGGCAGCATATTGTACAGGTAACTTTACTCTAACATATATACAATGTTTAATGAATTAGGTCTAAAATGTTCTTCCTGAGTACATGCATTTAATTTTAAAATTTGCAAAATTTTCTATTTTAATATAATTGTGCCAAATGTCATACTATAAGCATCTAAAAAGCCTAAAATAAAGTAATATATAAATTTACAGAACATTATGTAGAACATTGTGCAATTATTTAAAATGACATATACATGTAGTTTTTATGTTTTCACAAATATAGCATTTTACTAATGTGATCATTAAAAGGAAAAGGGAAATACTGAACATGTGTTAAAAATATTATTTTGACAACAAAATTAAATATAACAATATTTGCTCCATGGCCATTGTGAGATTTATTTTAAAAACAGTGTATTTGCACAATTTTATGGACGCTAAATGGATCCAGAAAGATTGCTTTGATCTCCATTTCAGCCGTGTGGTTTGGGGGCCAGGTGTCATTGTTCATATTTCAGGTAATAATCCATTGATTCAACAAATTAAACACCGGCAATGGACTGGATCCAAAGGTAGTAATGTCATGAGCCAACCAGAATTAAACTTTCCACCCATCCTGAGTATTGCTTGTCCAGTACAGAGCGTCCGTGACCCCGGAATCACAGGGCTAAAGGCAGGGCCCCCCCCTGGGGGAGTCAGTCCACCACACAGCGTACACGCACTAAAGTCTATTTAGGGAAACAAACTGTAGGACCTCTGTGTCCTTATGTTACATCCTCATTCTTTTGTTTAACTGATGGGAAGGAGATCTTTTTCAGGTCAGTTTGGCAAAGTACGCTTCTTACTGCATGACCTTTGGACCCAGTGTCAGCACTTTCTATGCAATGGCTCATGGGAAGGACCTACTAATTACAGGAAGTACCTGACTCTGCAGCCCACTGAAGGAAGTTATCTTGCTGAATATTACTAACGGCTTTCATCTGTGTTCCTTATCAACATACTACTTTTAAAACTCAGGACACTATTCTGGTATGAGTTTTCAGTAAACATTGCACTTGGCCTGGGTGTTATCCCACTTATGTGACTTTATGAGTGCTTAATATTCATCCATCCATCCACCTTCCAGCTGCTTATCCTGCCAAGGTCATGTGGCTCCCTGAAGCCAATCCTGGCCAACACAGGGCACCAGGCTGTGCTTCATATGCCATTTACAGTACCTGAGATGACAACACTTGTGTTGTGAATGTATTTTTTTACTGTTACGCAGCGGTAGATGACGACAGTGTTTATTATGAATGAATTTACGAATTATGGATGAGTGAACTACTTGATGCTGAGGAGTGACACGATAAAGATATTGCTATTATTGTAAAATATATATATTGAACATATTATAAGGGATAGAAACTAATAAGCACAACAAAAAACTGTCATCATGACCAACTGCAGATCAACACATGAACACCTGTTGATTATGCTACATCACCCTTAGTGCGTGATGTTTGTTTTCCCTGCTAAGGATTAACATCCCATCCAGGGTGTCCCTGCCTTGTGATTCGTGAGGCTTGATTTGGGGCCATCCCTCCCACTACAATAATATGTCATTTCTGTTCTGTGTTTGTACTGATAGACCACACATACCTTCTAAGGTTCCTGCTGTACTAGTGTTAAATCTGTATTGGCCTTAAAACGGGACTAGGTTTTGAATTGGATGTGTGTGCAATAAAAAAAAAAGTGCAATAAAAGGCCTTTGAATAGATATTTTGTGTCCATTATAATGTAGCTTCCATAAAAGGACATGGAGATGTGAGTTTGCGTACTGAGATTTAACTGGAATTCCAAACAAATGAATTTGACCAATGACAGCGGCCGATCTCTCAGTCACAGGAACTTGACTTGTTCCGCTGTGAACTTTGCACTGTGGCGCCTCCTATCTCCTTAACCACTCCGGATGAATTGCAGAAGTCGGATTCCCGCTCTTAGCACTTATGCTGTGCCTCGCGTTGGCGTGCATACTGCATAGGAACAACAGCACACCAAGACATCCACGTTTAGTTCAACTCGCCTGGGATATTTCCCGGGGGCCGTACCGTACCTGCCCAGGGGGACAACTCTAAGGTCCGCCCATTCATCCTCAGCTCTCTTTCGGAAAGGTGAGTTTGAATATTCATATACAATTACAAAGCCTGTGTAAGATCAATTAGCATTCAGTGCACAGCAGACAAATTTAATATTAATTGTCTAATTTACAAAGGTAAGGGTACCATTCACTGGTGAACACTTTATTTGACTTAAAAGACTGTCCACGTGTAATGGATTCGTAATTCTGGACTTGATGGGGAGAAGAACTGATATAAACAGATTAATAATGATGAATACATTGATAAATTGAGGGTTTATCTTATTCACGTTAATTCTGGAATATCTACAAATCTGGAGGTGACTGAGTATTTTTTCATTTTTCTATTGTCCACATGCAAAATGCCAGCCTATGCTACAATATATACTTGGTACTATTGTGGTACTATTAAACGTTATTGGCTAAGGGATCTGCTGGGTAAGTATGGATGGATGAAAGAACACAAAATGGCAGACACATTGTGGCCAACTCAGCAAGAATATGTACTTTCTGCTCTTGATATCGACAGACCGCACACACCACTTATTATGGTGGTAAAGGATCCGAAGTTCCAAGGTTCCTACTGTACTAGTGTTACATCTGAATTGGTCTTAAAGCAGGTCTAGGCTTCAATAGAGCTGGAAGTAGAGGTGTTGAAGGTGCTTCTGTGCCCCCTCTTGTCTGTGTCATCAAAGAAAAACAGTGATATTTTAAGTGTCTCACAATGGCTCAGAGGTGACGTCATGATTCTTTCTACAAAAAGACATATGTTACTGTTGATAGCTACCAATGATACAATAGAACTTCAGTAAAGTCTATTGATTGTTCCAACTTTCAGCATCAAGCTCAAAACATCTTCCCACACCTATGGAAGGTTTTGTTCTGCAAACGGTGCCTTTGAAAAGGGAACTTGGTGAAGTTAGTCAGAGAAAAATATTTAAGAAAGAGAATAAACTATAGCCTTTGAAAATGGAAAATGGAGCGTGACATAAAATAACTTTCCGCAACATAAGCATAAAGATCGTATCATGGTCTGCTCATATGCTGACCCATCTGATGGACGGAGTCAGCATCTCAGGAGCACAGGTATCAAGGTTTCTGAAGGAAAAAATTGAAAACAATCGATACAGGTTATGAAACTGGCTTCATATTTTATTCCACCAAAGAGTCCTCACTATTGTTTGAGCAAGTACTCAACCTGAATTTTTGCATTAACAATATTAGCCCGTATAAACTGTAAGACTGTAATGTATGATAATAGGGTCTGCTATGGAATTAAATAATAAAGGGATTAAGTAATAAAGTGCACCCAAAGAAAAACGTATTGGTAATAGATGTCATACTGCAATATGGGATCCATGGCCTTTTAATTTCATTTTACTGTTTTCTATACAATTCACAGCAGATTTTTCACAAAGCCACTTACAGTAGACCACCACTCACGGCTATGATTTAAGTAACAAGAAACGAGCCACAGGAATAAAAAGTAAACTTTATGTCGATTATAGTCTCATGAGGGACAGCTTCGGAAAGCTTTAAACAAAGACTGAAATAACAGCAGCACTGGAGGACCGAGTGAGGGACCTGCATCTGTCTCTGTTCCCGTCAGCTATAAAATACTGATCTCCATGTGACATTGATATGAAGTCACGATTTCCTGACAAAGACATCTGTATACAGAATATCAACCATCCATCCTTCTGTTTATTAGCTACTCTTGAGACATGGTGAACCTAGAATCTATCCCAGGGCACAGAGGACACCCAGGGCAGGATGCCAGTCCAACACAGGGCACAGGGCAGGAGACACCCAGGACAGGATGCCAGTCCATCACAGGGCACAGGGCAGGAGACACCCAGAGGAGAATGCCAGTCCATCACAGGGCAGGGAACACGCAGGACAGGATGCCAGTCCATCACAGGGCAGGGAACACCCAGGACAGGATGCATGTCGATTCACTATGGTCAGTTTAGAGATATCTACTAACTTACCTCACATGCTTTTGAACTTTGGGAAGAAACCTCACAAATACAGGGAGAACATGAAAAAGCTCCCCATTCTACCTGGGGCAAGATTCAAAAGATTCAAATTCAAAAAAGTAAAGTAAACCTTTCAGCATCCAAGGGACCAGGCTGCACGGCTCTCTTGGCATGATAACGTAAGCAGGAGGGGCATGAAGAGCTTCTAGTCAGCCTACAGCTAAATCTGCTTCCCAGCTCATTTCCAAGTCTTTCAGATCATATGCAAATGTTCTCAGGTCTTTACATTTCTCATCTAATTACTCTGCAGTCCACATTCCAGAGCTGCTCTTGGATTCCCATGCAGACTAAAGACTGAGGACCACGTTGTATATGGGGCAAAATCCCATGGATCTGCCAGACCTCTACTATCAGATTTAATAATATCTTGCAGCTACATATGTACATACAGTATGTGCAAAACATACTATGAGCTTTTGAACTCATACAGACCTGCTGGAACACTCTGCAACAATCAGATTAACTCACTCACAGCCCAAACATAATTTAGAGACATCAGTCCACCAGAACTCTATGGTTTTGGACGTAGGGATCAAATCTACTTATCTTGAGCTAATCTAAATTAGGGTTCCTAACACTTGGTCAGTATTCCAAAATAAAGCTACTATTTTTTGCTGCCCTTCATATTTAGATTTTGTTAGCATCTGGAGAAATAGAAATGGTTAGAAATAGAAATGTAATCCCACCCCTGCAGTTTTATTGATCCATGAAATTACAAATTTACAAAGAGCTTAAACTGAAAGGTTGCAAACCACCAGTCAGTAACTTCACACAGAAAGAAGCACAGAACCAGGGTGGGAACAATCAGAGTAAAAGAAGTATAACAAACATATCTAAAGAAAACTACTGACTAATGTTTTCAACTTTGAGATTGTTTACTGTAGATGCACCAATTGTACTGGTCAACTATTGCCATCAGCTGATGGTTAAAAATGAGCCGATATTTACCGCAAATAACTCCCTTTAAAATGGTGACTTTGCACACCCTCGTACTAAACAGTTGGAAAAATGGCTGCTACGTGGAATTATTTTAATGTCATTAGAAGTGTATCTTTCAAACATGACTCTGCTAAAATTTCACGAGGAGGATCTAATAATAAACATCACAGCACAACAAATTTGATTGCTCATCTTAAGGCGAGACAGTGAAGAGTTTCTGCAAAACGAATCCGTTTCAATAAGGAAGACTGCAGCACTGCTGAATAACACTAGTTTGTCAGTAACGAAAGCATTTGATGTCAAAAGAAAATTCAGCGCAAACAGTGCAAAATCAAAAGATATTACTCAGAAAATTATGGAGTTTATCACACTTGATGATCAGCCCTTCTCTGTTGTAATTGTTATAAGATGTATACAGTTATAAAATATAGTGCTCTGGGACTATTGTATGCCAGAGTTGGTGTTTTCTTACCAAAGAATAAATACTTTTCATATTTACCACCATTGTCTGTAACTGCTGTCCTATTCAGGCTTGTGGGGGGTCCAGAGTCTATCCCAGAGGTTATGAGTGCAAGCCAGGGAATAACCCAAAATGAGGGGTTAACCCATCACAGTGCACACTCACACACCATTCACACCTATGGGCAACTTGGTAACTCCAATTTACCTCAGTATATTTTGGACTATGGTGGGAAAACCAGAGTAGCTGGAGGAGACCCCACAACTGCATGGGTAGAACATGCAAACTCCACACATATGGAGCCCTGGTAGAGACTCAAACCCTGGTCCCACAGGTCAAAGGCAACAGCGCCAACCTTGCCACCCCCAATTTTCATAAATTTAGGGATGTAATGAATTTTTTTTTCATTTGGTGGCGCGTCCCTTCAAACTTATTTAAGCAGATCTTCCCAAACACTCAGTATCAGTATCAGCTTTCGAAATGATCAGCTATCAATATCGGCCACACATTTCCTTATTGGGGCATCGTTATTTACTCATTTGATACTTAAGTTTTTTTTTTGTAAAATTAATTCAATGACATCTTTTGATTTTATAATATATTATTTGGATGCTTTGACACAATTTTCTTGTTTTCCACAGGGATTTGTATCTCATAAATGGGTCTGGACCTCTCTAATATATGGTAATTTTTATTATTTATTGTATGGCACAGTTTATGGTTGACAAGGAGCACATTGCCCTGCTTGTGTGTGTTCATTAGCAGATGATGGCTTTGCTGTAATTCTCTGGTATCTTAGCTCTCATTCTGCCCACAGGTTCGTGGTGCTGTTTGTAGCCATAGTAATCAGCATCCTCTGCTGCGCCAGGTATTTTAAACACTGCTATGATAGGAATGTGAGGGAACTGAACAGGCGCCCTGAAAGGACCTCAGTCTTCATCATCCCTATGCCATCCATCGAAGAAAACGACCTTTATAGTCCACCTCACTACAACAGGATTGACATTATGGAGCTTCCGCCTCCGTATTCTGAGGTACAGCATTGCATCACGTGACAGTCCATGGACAGCGGAACTGGGGGGGGGGGGGGGCTCCCAGGTTATCTTTCAGAGCATCATTAAGAATGCACAATTGTGAGCAATCACAAAAAAACAACCTACGCAGAATTTACTGCAAACCTATGAAACTTTATTAATTAAGGCCTGAAATATATCCATGTTTTTAAAACATAAATATGACTTGTGAGGCGCGATATTGGATGCTGGTGTTGCGACTAGATATCTACCAATCAATTCTATTTTTTGACTGTATATTTATTGCTACGCCATTCACAGCGTTAGCGGAATCTCAGCGTCACAATGTGTATCACAATGTGTATCACAATGTGTATCACAATGTGTAAAATGTGTATCACAATGTGTAAAATGTGTATCACAAGGCGAGCAGGCTTCTATAATGTAGAAAAATAATCAGCAGAAGGGTATATGCAAACAGACAAGTGGAAATTAATTTATGCCACCTTTATGACACCTTTGGACAAAGGTGTCGGAAAATGATTTAAACCTAAATGTTAATGAGTCTTTACATTTGGCCCCGATTTACCCCTTTAATTTGGATATTGCTCATTTGGTGTTCACCTCTGTTGTTTATAATATCTCTCCCTCTTTGTGATACACACGCTGCCAACCTGGCACCTGTCTTTACAACAGTGGCAGCATTCAGAATAGGTAGTGCTGACCGGAAGACGTGTGTACACTAAAACTGTGAGGAGTCAGAGAACCTTCATACTCGCTCAAGAATTTGCAGATAATTTTCAGAAGCTCTGTTAGCTCAGACTCTAAATCAAGTGCAAGTAGAGCTTTATTTGCAATAGTTTTTACCAGAACCATATTCACAAAGACCAGTGGTAAGTGCAGCAATGATTAGCTAGTTCTCAATAGGGTTGCAAAGGGATGGAAAATTTCCAGAAACTTTGCAGAATATTTCCATTCCATGGGAAGATAAGCTGGGGAATTTTAGAAATACTACAAATTGGAAACTTTCCATGGGAATATATGGGAATTAACAGGAAAATTTCCAGAATTTTGCAACCTTAGTTCTTTGCAGGTAAAATAAATTATTCTAGCTTCTTTGCACGTCTCTATAAGACAGACCCTTCCAGTCCCCAGCTATGCAACCAGCTCACCAAGTTTCTCTCCTCATGCAGGTGGAGATGAAGCCAGACTTGTTTCCCCTTCCTGAAGAGCTACCTCCCCCGTACATACAATTCTCGGCATCAGATTTTGCACCCTCTCTGTTGCCAGTCTCACCACAGCTGCCTACATTACAAGTCCAATCAAGTGGAATACCGTCTCCTCAGGATCAGACCCCTCCCACTGAAAACGGGGAGGGTTTCCAGTTTGGGGACACAGGGGTCTCAAGACACTTTTGAATAGAGACTGTGTGGTTCCATTCATTTAGTAATAATGTTTTTGTAAATATCTTATCAAGTGTTGCTTTAATAAATTTGACTTTGCATTTATCCAATTTCATGCTAGTTTGTCAACAAGATTAGCACAAAGCATACAATCTAACAGAATTTCATATGCAAAACACACTCATATCTAAACTGCTACTCTCTTTCAAGGTATAATGGTATTACCTGACGTTATAGTGTGGTTTGTGCTGTGCGCTAGTAGAGTGCTCATTGTGTGTTCCAACCTTACCCTGCTATTTGCACCCTGAGTACCAAGTACAAGACTCACCCAGCTATATTGGACCATAAAGGAGTCTGAGAGAGATCTCTTCACACGCATTATTGCAGAAATTTATGGCCATTGTTCCTTGTTATTCATTACCTGGTCTCAATAAAATCCTTCCCATACTGCCTGACATACAGCAACTGATGAAAGGATCACAACAACCTCATTACAAAATGGACCAAAGGTTTTAGTTCGTTTTTTCTATTTTTACTGTGCGCAATTTTCCATATACTCAGAAGAGACAGGGAAGGCCTTTTGAATACAACCTGTATTTTTTGATTGTACATATAAAGTACTTTATAACAACTGTATCATTTATAAGAAGTTTTTAAAGTTTTGATTGAAGAAGTCTACACAAAATAATAAATGGCGCCATCTATTGAAAGGGAGCTGGAATCTCTTCAGAACAGTTTCTCCTGCTCAAAATGCAACTGAGGTTTGGTGCAGCCAGAACCCCAGAAAAGCTTGGAAAATCCATTATTCATATGGTTACATTTTCCTAGAACTGTTTCGGGTGTTAAAGGTGACAGCTAAGAAATAGCTGCTGGCATAATACACATGGCATTTGATTTACTGAATTACTATTTAATTCTTATACTGCATTTATTCCCACAAGTATACAGTATGAAGAGGACGTCATGCCCAGTTGATGAATGGTGTTTTTGTCTGAAACCCTTGACTTTGTGCTCTATACTGCCATTGGTGCGATACTTCTGTAATATTTTGATTAGGTCATATTTATTGTATTTCATAGAATTTGATCATAATACTAAGTGTTTCTACAAATGCTTCTTTCTCATTCTGCACTGTCCTGCTGCAATATAACTTGTAGTTGAGGTTGGGGCCCGCCTATCTGAATTCTTGTGCTGTGTTTGCAAGTCATTTTATTGAAAAAGTCTATAAAGAAAATAAGTTATCCAAGATAATCCTCAATTTCAGTTGTCAGTATGGACACCACCAGGTGAAAGAATTACTGGAACCATATGATACTTATGCATACCAGTGAGCAAACTAGGCTTGCTAATTACCAGACTGATTATGCAGTCGATACCCTTTTATGACCAATAGAAGTCAGACTGCTTTCCAACAGAGGCCTAATCAACTTCAGCAGCTGCAAAAGCTAACAAGGCCTGCGCGGAGCTGACCTACTTTAGAGGCCAGGATCTGAATCCTGGTCCCATATCTGCTGGACTTTGGTTGAGCTAATCGGCTAATTAATTATGCAATATTTAGCTGTGGTTTGATCCAACCCACGGTTTGACCTTATTTGCACTATGTATCAAATGTTTTCAGACATTTTCATGTGTATCAAAATCACATTCACTTTTTTTTTTTCTGTAATAATGCTTGACCAGCGCTTCTACGAAGTGCACAAACCGGAAAGGAGAAACTTGTTCACATTTGTGTATTTATTGCCTTTTTTGTTTATATATAATGCATAAGGCCCTGAGAATGTAAGTTATCTCTCACATAATTCACTCCTTCTCTACTTTCCCAGTCTGTGGTCCATGCTGAAGCTTCACGTCTACATTTCCTCTTATGTCTCTCATGTCGTGTTCACCAGCAGTGGAAACACACATCCACCTAGGGAACTAACCAGCACCGCAAGAGACACCATTAGCATATCAAAGTGAAATCGCTTCACCCCGGCAGCAGAGGGGGTTGAACAGTCTGCAGGGACTGAGGCATCCAGGACTGCACATGTGCGCCAACTTCCTGCTCTGCCAGTTACACCAGGTGCTGCTGTTTCCAGTTAGTAGCCCAGAAAGTGATTAAATGATCTGTCACAACCTCACATCCTCACGTAACAGGAAGAGGTTTTCTGAATGTCTGTCTGAGATCTGCTTACTGTATCTCATCTAGTCAAGAGATATGTCATATTTTATGTGATAAAAGAGATACATTTCTGAGCTACATTTTTTAATAGTTTTCAGCTATTCCAACGCCATTATATTGCAAGGCACAACATGAATATTTAACAGTAGTGTGCAAGGTGGAAGACTCAAGATGACCATCTTGACTGATTCTGATATTCATGTTAAAGAATAACAATAAAACAATATTGAAAAATAAAAGCACTGCTAAGGGGTCTGGTGATTGTGATTGATTTCTTGTGTCAAATGCACCATTCTGACACGTCTACAAATAGGTTGGACAACTCCAGAGTAAAGCATCCCAATAATGAAAGTTATATGAGCCAATAAATTTACTTATGCACAATAGGATTCTTTTGAATATAAAACCAGTACAAAATGTAGTTCAAGTTCTAACATCCATCCATCCATCCATCCATCCATCCATTTTCTGTAACCGCTTATCTTATTCAGGGTTGCGGGGGGTCCAGAGGCTATGAGCGCAAGGCAGAGAACAACCCAGGATGGGGCGCCAACCCATGGCAGGGCACACTCACGTAGTTCACTCATACATACACGCTTATGGGTAATTTGGTAACTGCAGTTAACCTCAGCATGTATTTGGACTGTGGGGGGGGGGAACCAAAATACCCGGAGGAAACCCCACGACGACACGGGGAGAACATGGGGAGAACTCCCCACACATGGAGAAGTTCTGATATCTGTTTATTAATATAGAGTATATGATTTTGGGAATCTTCAAATACTACCTGAGTATTAACATTACAGCAGTAAGTAATAAGTAAAGCCTAAAAAAAGATTAAGTAAAAACCCCTAATACCACATTACGCATATATACAGAAGCTGTATGCATTCATATAAAGGTGAAATTTTAAAATTTTTAATTTTTAAAGACTGACGTCATACTCTGTGTATGTCTGTCTGGACCATGGACACATACTTGAAGGCTTTACAATGTTGTATTTATCAAAAGGGTTTCACTAGGCTTTGATCTGCGGATATTACGTTAAAAGGGATACAGCACAGCAAAAGTATGAAGAGAAACATGAGTCTTTTGTGAGAGCGTCAGGATCATTCATTCATTACCCTTTGTGGATGCTTATGCTGTTAATGCATTACGTATGAGGCTTTTATGTAGGTCCACAAGAAATCTGCAGCTGCTGGCTGAGGTTCTCATGAATATTTATCTCATCTTGTTTCATTGCCTTTAACACAATCCAGTGTATGTTAGCCTATGGAAGGTACTGGTTTTTACCTTAAAATGAAGAGACTGGCTTGTACATTTCAGTCTTTAGAGAGTCAACAGTAGCAGGCCCCAGCCTCCCCCCCCCTACCCCCACTCCACCACCCGCCACCCTGTTTGTTTGAAGATTCTCAAAGGATCACACTAGAACATCAAACAGATGAAACATACAAAGGATACTGTATTTGGAAGATCAGATTCTATAACTGCTATACAGTGGCTGATAAAATAAACTAGAAGTAACAATAAAAAGCAGTCATAAAAATATAATTTGCGGATCAAACACAAAATGGTGCGACGAGAAGCTGTTGTTATTAGCTGTCAGACCTGCAGACCGACACATGCAGAACATACAAGTACATTGGAGTCTGTTTACAAGGAATCTAACAAAATCATTGGATCATGACTCCAATAAATTTACCAATCAGCTGTTTAACGATTCCAAGTCAGACTTTACAGTGTAGTAACATGGAAATTAACTACAGGGGCTGATTTACTACAGGTTCTATGTGAATATATGAAAAACTGGAACCACAAGCAATTTTATTTACTTACAATGAGACTTCCAGCTATAACTGTGATAGGTACCCAAATATTTGGGTTTTGCAGCTTTTAATTCATGAGTTCTTAAATCAAACCATTTCAAAGAGAACTTTCTGGAAGGAGAGTATGACAAACATAGCACAACAATTTATCCATTTAAAATGCATGGGATATTAAACATGTTAAATATAATTCAGACATATGTAATACTTGCTGTAATTATCAGGGCAATGCAAACAAAAAATTAGTGCAAATGAGGTACAAATGTGTTGCCTGTAATCCTTAAAATAAAAAATCCTACATAGACAAGTCGCAAAGGGAATGAGCATCTATTTCATTACATAAAGGATTCATGAATGCCTGTATAGACAAATCTACACATAAAGAAAAAATCAGGTAACAAAACTATAGGACACTGTATAAAATGACTACATTCTACAAGTGTCTAAAAATGTTAACAAAATCATATATCATAAGACATTCTATTAAGTATTACAGGGCACAAACAAAATCAACTTTTATTAAAAGTCATAAACTATGTCATCAGCATTTGCATTAACCATCTATAGTAATAAGTGTTCCAGCTATATGAAATCACACCACTGAAGCATTAGAGACAAAGCATTTAAATTTAATTTGGACTAACATAGGCTACTCTCCTGACGTTAGCATTCCTAAATCTCATATACCACACTGGTCCAAGTTGTACCTTTTTCAGATTCGTTAACTCTTAGAGTGAAGCCAACACCCTACTAAATGATGCCCACAGAGAAATGTTCCACACATAATGGCAAGCGAGAGAGATTTGTAAAAGGAAGAAGAGGTAGAGTTCGCAGATGAAGGAAACGACAATCCTTTTACGGCTGGTATAACTACCACCATGGCCTGCTCTCCTCAAACCTGCAGTGCAGCTCATGTCCTCGCTGACTCCATCTTAGAAAATCAGCCCCAACGCAATGAACCACAACATTACTTTGGACCATCCAGTCCTGACCGTCTCTTGAAGGTTGATGCAACTTGTCCAGATGAGGAAAGCAGTCCTTTTGGCACATTTACGAGCATGTGAGGTCATGCGAGAGCATGACTGCGTCTCTGACCACATGCAGACAGGTGTCGATGACAGCACAGGGAATGAGGTTGCATATTTACAATTAAATATATTGATATATTATCAAAATTCCTAATATACAGTTTATTTCACAGAGATGGTTCATGTTTAAGCTACGCTTCAAAAGTATATACCAATTTAACTGAAGTCATAACATAAAAGCTGAGAAAAATGGGAATTTCAAGGTGACAACCAGCTATTTTGGACATGCAGGGATGTAAAAGCAACTACTACTCCTCTTAGTTACACTTAGGGTTAGGTTTTAATTACATGTTTGACCTTTCTACAATCTCAGCTAAAACCTCACAGTTGAATGAAACTGTTTATAAGTATGTAATTAATAAGTGTATTTTGCCACAAATATACATAACAGAATTTCTGAGTAACAAAACCACTTTACAAACTTTACACTGCCCCAAATGTCTGCCAGAGCTAACGTTACTATGGTTACCTGAAGGAAACTGGATCCTCCACAAAATGTTCTGTAGTTACACATTATGTACATAGCAAATGATAACTGATAACATGAAGACGCGTATACCAAGTAACATTTAGCTGCATGAATATAATATATCCGTCGAAATATTAGTGTAATGTTGACATTCCATACACCAATTTAACTATTTTCAATAACTCCATTGTGCATTTTTGCACAAAAGGCACTGATGCATGCTGGGAATATTCGTTTATTACGATTTCACCCTTAATTCACAGAGGATGGCCTTTAAAAATATATGTTTTAGTCTTCTCATGAAATACTGGTAGTGACTAAAGGTTTTGCTACAACCAGGATTAATTTGGTCCGTGTTTTGAGATTTCTATCATGCTTTTGTTCAATGCAAACTGAATTGGTGATGGATGTGTATTTACCACACAACATTATAAAAACAACACATACTGTATGACTCCTTGATTGATGCACATAATTATCACAAGTCTTAAAGAAACGCAAGCTAAAAATGACATTGTTGGTTCAACTCAAGAAAATATCCAGAAGAACAAATCAACGTTTAAATAAATAAAGATAATTCAGAAACACAGACACACACTCACTCATCTAATCGTCCTACGTCTTTCACAAATCAAGAACAAGAAATGATTATAATAAAATAAATACAACTAAAAGGTTTGAAAAAGGGAATTTTTAAAGTAATTTTTGGGGGTAGCCAAGAAGAGAGATGGATGAGATGCACAAATTTGACATCCACCCTGTAGAGTTGTGCATCCCCTGGGTCGCTTGGCACTGGTAAAGTAGTTCGCTTCGATTGACAAAGTCGGTCCCCTTGCAAATTGTCCAACTTACCTCACTGACTCGCCTGGCCTAAAAGACCCAGCTGACAGGAACCCACTGCTGTTCAACCCCCAGCTTCTCTAGTGCCCCCCGCAGCCTGCGGAAAGCACTCTCCAAATTGTCGTTGATGATAGTAAGGTCAAAATAGTGCCCGTAGGCTCGCTGGATCCTACCACTCTCCTCCACTGTCCTCTTCAGCTCTGAATCCTGCAGGAAGAAACACATCTGAGCCAGAATACTAATCACTGCAACTATGCTAACCTGTCAAATACGCAGGAACACAATACACAGCAAACACAGTATTCATCATTTACTACCCAAGCTCCTTACAGCTGATAACAACAAAGGTTTTGGAAAGTGTCTTAAAATTTTTGAAGCTAACCCTTTGAAAAATGGGAAAAACATAAAGTGCTCACAAAAAGTCTTGGGATGCTTGTTTAATTCTGTAACAGCATTGCAGATATACCAGTTTCATAAGAAAAGTTAATTGACAAGCAATATTTAACATATCTGCACATATCTTTCCCATGGACATTTTCTTTCTGTTTCTTTTTGTTTCAATTGCTATTATTGACTGACTCATTCAGTTCTGTTTTTGCCATTTTGCTATTCACTGCAATTGTAGACTTTGGCTCTCAAAGGGATACTAAACACAAATGTTTGGTGTTTAATGTTATTGCAAAGGTGTTACTAATTAAAAAGCACCCAATGAGACTGCTTGCCAATGAACTTTTAAACTCAGAACAGTAATTTTACAACAACAATTTGGGTTTAAATGTATTAAACCCAAGGACTTGAAATTAATGTTTTACTTTAAACTACTGAATATTTCTAATGTGATTTTTATTAAAGCATTAGTAACTTGGCTATAAATATTTGTAAAAAGGCATAACACATTATGGCCATATGCATTATGCATTATAGGTACCTTTATAATGCAGAACAAAGCATCCTTGCATGCTTGTACTGACCATTATAATGCATTATAAAAGTATGTAAAGTGCATTATGGATGAGAGCTTTCATAATGCATAACACACATGGCTATAATGTGTCATGCCTTTTTATAAATAGTCATAGCTGTATGTATAATACTTTATGAATGTACTATTATTTGTTATGAATGTGTTTATAAATTACTAAAGTAAAGTATTACCAAAAAACAAGTGAGGAAAAATGTTCTCAACAACTGCTACCGGGAGATAATACAAATATAAATCAACACTTTAGGGTTCACTGTCATCACATTAACCACACTGTGCTAGCAGAACTCAATTAAAACTCAAGGAGAAGCAATCATTTGACTCAATGAATTCGATATCATTTTAGCAGCTGAACCTACCGTCAGTTGCTTGGTGACAACTCCAGCCTCAATGGCTGATCGGTTCATAGCCTTCAGGACCTCAAAATCTGGGGCTTCAATGAACACCACATAGGGCAAGAACTCTGATGTCCGGAGAATTTTGAGAGCCTGCAGGATGGAAAACCAACGATAATACTCAACATTACATTTGTAGGGAGACTTGACATGAAGATCTATGTATAGCTGAGGGGAAACAGCCTTTGTTTGGAATGGACAATGGAATTCAGCACAATATCAAAGAAATGGATAAACTGAACAAGATCAGAGAAATACCAATATGTCTGTTCTCAAAGTGTCTTACGTCCCAAAGTCATTGAGGGCACCCTGACTGTGCTGAACACAGACAAGTCACGCTGACTGTGCTGAACACAGACACAGCATACTGATTACAGTGAACACAGACACGACACACTGACTGCAGTGAACACAGACATGTCACACTGACTGCAGTGAACACAGGTATGGCACACTGACTGCAGTGAACACAGGTATGGCACACTGACTGCAGTGAACACAAGAATGACACACTGATTGCAGTGAACATAGGCACGGCACACTGACTGCAATGAACACAGACACAGCACACTGACTGCAGTGAACACAAGCATGGCACACTGACTGCAGTGAACACAAGTATGGCACACTGACTGCAGTGAATACAAGCACGGCACACTGATTGTAGTGAACACAAGCATGGCACACTGATTGCAGTGATCACAAGTATGGCACACTGATTGCAGTGAACACAGACATGTCACATTGACAGCAGTAAATACAAGCACGACACATTGACTGCAGTGAACATGACCACGGCACACTGACTGCAGTGAACACAGGTACAGCACACACCTGCGGGTTGACGTCCAGGATGCATATCTTGCCAGACTCCACCACTTCATGTATGGAGCTTATCTTTGTGCCATAGAGGTTGCTGTCATACTCGCCGTGCTCCAGAAAGCGGCCATTCTTGATGTCTGACTCCATCTCGCTGCGGGACATGAAGCAGTACATCTGCCCATCCCTCTCATTTGCTTTGGGCTTCCTGGAGGTGTCTGTGCCACAGCAGATAGGACGAGGTCACAAAAGTGCAGTAATCATTGTTCTAAGATTGTGGGGCTTTAAGCAGATGTGTGCGGGCGTGGTCTTACATAACTGGCGACTATAAAAATATCACATAAGCTGATAGTAGGTTATGGGTCCACTGATGTGTAACTAGGACACAAAAACACAAGTACGGGATGGGAGTGCGGCTCAGTAGGGGGCGCTGTTGTCACACACCTTTTAGGTTGGGACTTTGAACCCCACTGTGTTTTTAGAGTCCGTGCTTTCTATGCTGCACTGGTTTCCTTCTACGCTCTATAGACATTCAGTCAGGCTAACTGGAATCCCTAAATTGCCCATAGTGAGTGTGTCTATGTGCCCTGGGGAGGACTGGCACCCTGTCCAGGGTGCCCCCCAGCCTTGTGTCCTAAACTGCCTTGGATTGGCTCTGGTTCCTTCACCACAACACACAGAAAGTAGTCGTAAAATGGATGGAAGAGACAAGTATACAAAAGCCTGTTTAGTGACACACCTCCACTTTAGATCCTACATCTACATTATGGTAAAGATTAAAAACATAAAATCAATTATACCATTTCAGACTTTTCAAATACCAATCAATCTCTTACAAAACTATAGGTGCTGTATTAAATAATCATTGGTAATTCATTATTTTTAAACTACTTCATAAATTTTAATTGATTATCGCTATTGCTTTACGTAAACAGATTTTATCACATTTCCATTATATGCCAAGGATTCTTTTACATTTGGCTGAGAAATCCACCCTCCCCAACCCCAAGTCCTAAACCAGTGTTTCCCAATCTGGTCCTTGGAGCTCCACAAACAGTCCACATCTACTGGGAGCTCAGAGGGAGCAAAAACATGGACCGGCTGTGGGTCACCGAGGACCGGATTGGGAAACAGCTCCTACACAGTTCTTGCAAAACTGAAACTAAACCTGAAATACAACTCACAAGATCATTTTTTTAGCCTGTATCTGACCTGATTGGGGAAATTAATTAAATTAATTAATAGGTTTCATGGCTCATTCAGCACAGGGGTGTCCCCTGCCTCATGTCCTCTGCATCCTGGGACAGGCCCCAAGCTCACCATTACTCTGTATTGCAGAAGCCTTACAAAAGCAGCTCTAGGTGCGAAATAGCAGTGATGGACAAAATGATGCATTACAAACCATTTGCTGAGCGCCATCTAGTGGGGTCAAAAAATACAGCAAATGGTTCATGCGGCATCATTTTTATCCATCACTAAGAAACAGCTTTTGGTGCGGGAAGCATAACGGAGACGCGTCAGGCTGCACTCACACGGCATGGTGGTACCATACCGCTGCGGATCTGACACCAGCAGCTTGTTCTTGAGGCTGCGCCGGCCCACCCCTTGTGCCCCGATCAGAACCAGGCTCTTCCGGCGGAAGGGGGGCATCTTGGCAACTTCCTCGTAGATAAGCAGCTCGTGCCGGTCAAACTCTGAAAGACAGAGCAGTCACTTCTGATTACCAAGCCGTACCATCCTTATCATTCCCTGGAATCGTGCATCCAGACAGCAATATATTTGTCATCTGGAAAGTCGGTTATGCTTGAATACATATTTATTTGCACAGAAGATTATAAGCTCGAACCAGCATTCTTTGTCGTCAGGTACATCATCTTCTTTTTCTTCTTGCCGCCGATGCCCGTACAGAGTGGACCTGGCAGAGGGAATTGAGATTTGTAAGAGCAAAGACACATACTACAATGCAGGAATGAAAGTCCGGCTCCGTCCGACTCTGGTTCATCACACCCGTCACTCGGCTCCAAGAAGCAAAGGCGCTTCGGTGGCACATCTACATCGCATCAGTGACCTGACTTCTCCACTAGGTGACAGTGTCACACAAGTCCAGCACCTCCACACTTGAGGTTAAAGAGTTCAGTCAAACCCGTCAATCAAAATGTGGCAACAGCTGGGCTTTGTTGGATGGTTTTAATACAGACCAGTGGGGCTGAACCAGAAAACAGTGAAGACACATGGCGAAACATTACCGTTATCGCAATAAAACACCAGGGCAATTCATAATGAAGAGTTTCTCATTTACAAAAGAATCAAAAAAGTGGAAACAGTGAATAGATGGGTAATAAAATCTGTGCTGTGGAAAGGAGCCGTCACTGTTTCATGCCTTGTTACTCTGGGATTCAGAGTAATCAGTAACCCCTCCTTAGGGCAGGAACACTCAGCCAGCTCATTACCAATTCCAAATTCCTGACTGTTACAGCTGAATGTTAGAAGACATCAATTATAACAAAAAACAGTACTTATGAATAATCAGCAGGTTTAAGTAGGTCAGCCAAGCCGATTTTAAGAGGCCCGCTGATGGCCATTGCTACTCTGACTTGCTGTTCAGAGGCTCTGGTCGAGCAGAGGGCAGCGGGGAGGAAACTCAGAAGCTCTGGGCTTTGCAGAGGAGGGGAGGTGGCAGGTCTGCAGTACACCTGCACCTACCATGTCCTTCTCACAGGTTCCCTGTGACTTCACAATCAGAGCTGCCAGTGCGCCCAGAATGTACAGGACAGAGCTCAATATAAGCAGGTCTGCGGACGACACCAGCGGCCAGCCACAGAGCTGAGCGGCAAGGCACCAAATGTGCCTGCTCTGATGGCAAGTCCACACGTGAGGTAATGGCACCAAATACTTCTTTAAAAAAAAAATCTGGAGATAGAAGCAGTAACTGACTAATCTATAACGTAAGATTGTTAAATAAAGTAAAGTCATCCATCAACATGTTCGATAGAGTAATGTCCAGTCGTTAAGAGGCTTAATAATATTTATCGAGAGACGTCTGAAGCAGATATAGTGCACGTTAGTGGATGTATTTTACCACGTGTCCGGCATGCGGCAAGAACAAAAACAAACTGATCGTGCAACATAACCCATTCGTAAGTTGATGGATTCCTGTATAGTTATTTTGAAGACAAAAAATAATCGATGATGTCATCACTGAGTCATCTTAGCAATAGTGACTCCATATTACAGCTGTGATGTGGAGCCAGCGGCTGTACCTCCACCTGCAAACTCCAGGTCCCTCTTCACAAAGGCCTTCCGCTTCTCCTCCAGGAGCTGGCTGGGGATGAGGCCTGCGCTGCCCCCCTCCACATGGCACGCCTGCAAGGAGCAGCATTCACCCGTCACCTCCCACCCAGCCACCCAGCTAATGCGCGTGGCCGCGTACTTAGCCACCCAGACCGTGATTTATAACACAGTGTGTCAGTTGGTATAGTTAGCATTGCGAGTTGTACATTTAAGTGTGATTTTCAGGCTTCGGCTTACAAGGAGAATGCACACTGAAAACTGAGGACTGAATTCAGCATGTTTTAGAGATTCTGCAGTTCTGAAGGTGTTGATTTTTCCATCAGAACTTCTAAAAATTAAGGCGCTCCAGATGAACAACTACAGACAGAACGAACTACTGTGTTCTGCCCATCTGCTGAGTGGAAATGTCTGGATGTGTTCACTTCAACAGCTCTTTCTCTCTTCTGGGGATTTGATTACTCAACAAGGATCACTCCAGCAAGACCACTCCAGGAGGATCAGTCCGACAGCGCCACTCAAATGGGACCGATTCAACCGGACCACTCCAACAAAAGTGCATCAACACTCCATGGACACTTAATCTGTGTTTTCAAAAGTAATATCACGCCTGACAGTAAATGTATGCCTATCTTAGACGACTATCATTTTCTCTTAAACCGGCTGTGGTATAATGGTCCAAAATTGAGCACCATTAATAATCAAAGTTCACCTTGCAGCACTAGTTCACTTTGTAGATTTTGCATAATAGGCTGGTCGCGGTGCGGAAGGCAGCCTCGTCCTTGGCTTTTGATCATCTCGGATACACTGCGATCAGCTCCCCTGCCCTGCCCACCTCTCCCAGCATAGGGATACCTTCAAGTTCAAAATCTTCCTTCCAAATGAGCAACATTTACCCATCGCTACCATCAGGATGGTGGCCTTGTTAAGCCAAATGGCTGTGAATGTGCAGTGTTTGACTAGAATGACATTAATCTTCTTGCAATGCATTACCAAAACATGCATAAACTGCCAGGGAGCTAAAAGGCTTAAACAGCTGTTTTGTATCATTCATTTCAGCAATGAAGTACATTAGGTTTCATACCCGTCTATATAATACATTTACCCAAACAAGAACTATAATGTGCGGTAACAGAAAAAACACTTTGCCACTTTCATACTGTTTGCCACAACTGGAAATAACTAGCTGCAATCTGATTACTACAGTTTATATATAGATGCTTGTTCTCATGCACATTGTTAAAAATTAGCAAGCTTATTCATTTTTTAATATTCTAGTTTCTATGCCTCCAGCATGAAAATTGCAGTGATCATGTTGCACAGAGCACCCAAAACAAGAAAAAGGTAAATGAATCAGGAATTTTTTTTTGTCTTTTGTTCATTCTTTTCCTGAAATTACATTCTCAATAAGCTATCTATTAAATACTCACTACATTTATATGTACACTAAGAAAATCAAATTATCGTGTTAGTCTGACTAAAACCGGACTTTTAACATGTAAACGTATTAGTCCGACTGAAATCGTACTAAATCAAATTTCTCTTAACCGATTGACACCCAGATAATGCGACTGGGGGATGATTTACTCCTGCATTATGCATTCAGTCAGACTCAAACTGGCCTACACGGGATGCCGGTCCGTCACGGGGCGCGGCTGGGGTACACCCTACACGGGATGCCGGTCCGTCACGGGGCGCGGCTGGGGTACACCCTACACGGGATGCCGGTCC